GAAACAAAATAAAAGTAGAATAAAAGCATGGGGAAAAAAACCTGATCAAAGCACATAATAATGCAAGTGGACAACAGGTGGCCCACAAATTTTTACTAATGATTAGTGTAGTTATACACTCAAAGGCAGCTCTAAACAAATAGTTTTTTTTATTTTGACTTAAAAGAACTCAGGCTTTGAGCACTTTTACAGTCTTCTGTGAGTTTGCTCCAGATAAGTGGAGCTAAATGCTGCTTCTCCGTTTTTTTTTTTTTTTTTTTTTGGGTCTATAGAGGCTTGAATTAGAACACCTGAGTGGTCTGGGAGGTTGATACATTGACAATAAATACGTTATGCAATTTGGTGCTAATACATTCTGTGATTCAGTCAATTGTAATAAAGATAAATGCATGAATATGTTTTTCTAGTTCCTGCTTGGACATTAGTCCTTAAATCCTGTCTTTCTTGGTGATAAAAGGCTGAATTATCAAGTGTCTTTACTGCTTGGGCCATGATTTCAGCCATAATACATAGTTTCTAGCTGCAGTAGCTGAAGATGTGAGCTAACTCTGGGTCTCTCCTACTCTGGTCAGAAGATTATTTCCTCAGTTTTGTTTTTATTCGATTGGAAAACATTATGGTACATCCACGTTCTGAGCATCTAGCCAATGCTGTGATGGTTCATAGTCATCTGGGGCCTGTCATGAAGCAGGGTTGCTGGGTTAGCGAGAGAACTTCAGGTTAAACCCTGTCTTCCCTGCATCAAAAAACTGGATTTATTCTTACCGAGGCAAGTCACCATGGTAACATGCTCTAAGCCAAACCTGAAGTGAAGCAGGTTAGGTTTCAGGATTCAGCTGAAACCAAGAAAACACCCCATGCAGGAGCCAATCAGCTGTTTGGGAAAAAATGATGTACCCTTTCACTGAAGACCCAATTTAATTCAGAGGGGGAAAAGACTTAAACAAAACAACATCACAATAAAGGAACTTGAAAACCAAAAGGCAGTTAAAACAAAATATGTTATTGACCAATTCAACAGTTTTTTACATTTATTCATTTATATTTCTTTTTCCCCCTTTTTGACATACAGTACCAACCTTTTACT